CAAATTACGGGACGAACCTTGAGGTACTATCTTTCTAATAAAAAAAAAGATTATTGAAAACGGTTCACGTGGTGCAAAGTTATGTATTCCGGCGAGATGATAACCTCCCTTTTTTTGAAGTCGGTTAAAAACGTTTGAGTTCTGTTAATCTGTAAATAAAGTGCAGTGTATGAATTTTAAAATGTTTATTTATTTATTACATACTGACAGTACTGTACATAAAACTTGCATAAATGTATTTTAAAGAGGGTATTATCTGAATCAAATTTTCAGTATTTTCCGGTGATATATCTTCAGAAATATAAAACCCCCCCTAAAATATATTCCTGGGTGCGCCCCTGGCTTGATATATCTACAACTTAACCGTTTAGCGGCTGAAGCTAAAGGCCGGTTATTGTCCGCACCCTGGTTAGATAGCCTTAGAGCCATTTCAACAATATTTGAGTGGACACTCACATGTGCAAATTCGTATCATTTGATGCGAATGCGAATGTCGAATGCGAATGTGTAAAATGATGGGAATCATTCGCATAACGAATGCGAATGCAAATATTCGTAGCATCCCTGATACATACATATGTACATTTTATTGCCGAATTGAGTTGGGAGTGCCACACTTTTTTCAGATAGATGATAAATAAATATTGAATTTTGAGCATGGAAAAAGGTATTCAGTTTAACATTTAAAATCATTCTAAGAAGTGGCTCGAAAGTGGCTGGTGGCAAAAATAAAGTTTGGTGGCAAAAAAAAGAAGTCGATGGCCAAATCTAGCCACCAAGTGGATAAAATGGCAACACTGGGTGCTTTTTTAGAAATTAAAAACTCGTTTTTTTTTTTTAGTAGAGTTTTCAATAAAGAGATGGTTCAAAATCAAATGCTGGCGTTAGTTATGCCATAGTGAATCAAAATTATGAAATAGAACGCCTTACAAGACTTGATGGCTTTTGCTCCATTTTCACAGCCGAATCAGAAGCCATTCTTTACGCTTTGAACATATACAAACGAAAAATAGGAACACATATAATTTGTACAGACACACTATCGACAATACGCGCAATTCAAAATACTTTACATCAAAACAACAAAATAATCATTCGCGATATTCTTATACATCATCAACTAAAATTAAGAGTTATGTGGTTTCCTAGTCATATAGGAATAAAAGGCCATGAACTCGCAGACGAAGCTGCTGTTATGTGATCAAAGTTATAATACCCTTGTGCACAAGTGCGCTCGGGTATAATAAAATGTAAATAAGCCACAATAACATTGATAAATACATATGTATGTAGTTTAGGAAGAGCCTGCCTGAAACTATGTATACAATGAAGCAAATGAATATATAGAATTGACAACAACCACGCTGTCAAGCTTAAATAGCGGCAAATCAGCTGCACTTGATAGTAGTAGGTTGAATAAGGAAATGAATTACCACCAAGAGTTAACAGGGTGTGCATAGCTCAGTGGTTAACGCTTCTGACTTTGCACATCGATGACGCGGTTTCGACCCCGCGGAGATGTGGTGATCTCCGAAATAGCTGCTATAACGTCTACCGCTTAGACTTTGTTGCTCTTTCAATTTTTTCTAATAAACATAATCGTGGTACAAAGCTCAAAAAAATATCGAAAATTATTATTACTTGTTTTTGTTTTTTCGATCAAAAACAATGATTATTTTATGATTTTTATTTTTTCGCCCAAAGGTAATGTTATTATTGAGTTTTATCTTTTCACTTAAGAATAATGATTATTTAAAAAAACTCAAAAGCTGTGCCAGCTTGATTTTCGGAGTATCCTCTTCAGAAGTAGCCAACCAAAACTCAGTAGTAATTATTATTTTTAAGCGAAAAAAGAATAAAAAATCATAAAATAATGATTAAATGCTGATTGAAATTATTGTACTGTAATGATTGTCGTCCCTGGTTTTAGAACATAACTACTGTATCGCAAACTAATTCGAATACGTATTTTTTTTTAAATTCTTAACTTACCTTAAAAACTTCCCACGTTGCTGAGAATGGAAGAACCGCTAATCCTACCAATAAATCTGCGACAGCTAAATTTACAATTAAATAGTTTGTAACACTACGTAATTTGTTGGAACAGAACACAGCGGCTATAACTAGTGAATTTCCGGATATCACTAATAAAATGATAAATAAAAGAATGGCTAACGAGATAACATTCGCTGGTTCTGTCCATTTTAATGATGTTATCAAATTATCACACTCTGTTGCATTCATGACGAAACTTCAAATGACGAATTGATGTTCAAGTTCAACACCTGAAAGGATAAAAGAAAGGATAAAATTGGTTACAAAAGGCAAGGACTTATATGGGACAAAATATATGTAAAATAAACCAATTAATGTTTGTATCAAACAAAAATACATATTATTTGGCACAAGCGTTATTTTGATTATTTTTCAATAAACACTTATTTTAATTGAATAATATACTATTAAAACGTTTTTGAAATTTGTTAATCTTATGATTCATATTATGATTTATTATGAATTTATGGAATCTTTTCATACTTCTCTTGTGACTAATAAGCAGGGGCGAAAAGTTTAAGCTTTTGCTTGGAACTGCTTATTTTGCTTATTCAGGGTTTCCAAGCTTAATTTTAACGATCTTGCTTAATTTGCACATTTCAATGTATAAAGCTAAGTACTGATCTTTTAAGTAAATGGCCATGAAATAAATTGCTATCGTGTGTGTGAACATTAGTGTACAAAGAGTCTTGACATCTGATATTGTACAGCCAGCTGTCTCACTTTTTCCTTACATAATAATGGAACGGGCTTATATTTCTATTGAAAACAAGGATGCCTTGTATTCGTCACAAACAAACTTTAGCAAACCGTAGTAGAAAGCGTAGCAAATTTATTAAGAACTTCGTACTGAAATTTGGCTCAATTTTTCAATCGTTGAACTAAAGAAATCGAGCCCTAACCGCCAAAATAACGTAAGCGACATTTTTTTCAAAATTTTCTTTTTGATGCAGAAATGCATCCAGATGCTCTAGGAATATTTCTGCATCAAAAAGAAAATTTTGAAAAAATGGTCGCTTACGTTATTTTGGTGGTTAGGGCTCGAAATGTTTACAAATTATATCATAAAAACAAATTTTGTTTTTATTAATCTGTAACTTCAATTGCATTTGTGCTTGGATACAAAAATTTAAAACCAATGGTTCGCCTCTATGGGAAGGCATTGGTGGTATTGAAGGGATTAAAATCATTTATCTCCATTACTTGAGAATATCAGGCAATACTTGTATGTCCGTTCTAATTTTCCAATCCTTGAAATAAACTGAATAAAAAACAAATAAGAAAGTCTAAGTTCGGGCGGAGCCGAACATTAAATACCCGGCGCAAATATTATGTATATGTTTTTCACGAAAGCTCCCGCTACATGGTAAGCCGGGGTGTATCAATTTCGAGTAAATTAGCGTCCTTAAATTTCGAAATATTGAAGTTTCAAGCATTTCTAAAATTTATCGTTATATGAAAAGCCGTAATTCTAGTCCGGTTTCAATAATTTTGAACGTTTTGCTTTTATGTGGCAAGCACAATAACCATACCGAGTTCGGTACAAATTGGTAGAACGGTTACCGAGATACATATATGTGATCATAAGTGGGCGGTGCGCGCCCATTTTCCAAAATTTTATCATGCAAGCATCAATTTTGAATAAATTAGCTTGAATATTTACTGATTTATCGAAGATTTCGTATTTCTCTAAATTACCCTTATATGGAATGTGGGCGTGGTTATTGTCCGATTTTAAAAATGTTCGGCCATTTGGTATGCTGTACCAAGGTCAACAACTGTGCCAAGCTTGGAAGGAATCGGTGCAGCGGTTGCCAAGATATACACATGTAACCATAAGTGGGCGTGTAAATATCAATTTTGAGTGAATAATCTTTAGTAGTTACTAAAGTTTCGCAGTTTTCGTATTTCTGAAAATTACCGTTATATGGGTGGTAGGCATGGTTATTGTCCGATTTTGCCCATTTTCAATACCATCCAATATCTCAATTTTTACTCAAGTTATCGTGTGCACAGACGGACGGACGGACGCACCGACGGACAGACAGTCACCACTTAATCGATTTCTCTTTTCATCCTGATCATTTATGTATACATTTGTCTATATCTATCTCGATTCGTTTTGCCTGTTACAAACAACCGCTATGTGAACAAAGCTATAATACCCTTGTGCACAAGTGCGCTCGGGTAGAACAAAACATTAAATTGTACTTAATTTTTGTTGTTCTGCGAGCACATTTGCAAGCATATTTACCAATGTTTTAGTGCTTATCTAGGCGCTTAAAATTGATTTTTTCGTGGTTATTTTCTTCGGTCCTGCTGATATGCCTAAATTTAATTTAGCTCGCTGCAATTTTAATGAATTAGGTAAGGGTTAAAGTGACATTGATTGGGATTTTTTATTTGAAAATAAAGAATTTGCAACTTGCTTTAACATTTTTAAGCGTTCATCATTCTACTTATGTAGTAAAAGTGTGCCAATTTTTAAGGCTTATAAACTTCCTTGGTATTCAGCATAACTTGATCTGAGCTTAAATTTGAGAAACAAGTTTTTTGAAAAATATGAGTCAATCAAAAGATTGCATTTTCATGATATGTATGTATGTTTTATATAGCAAAAGGTCAAATGGGCTAAATAAATCATTATATGACAAGTATATTTATAACTTTGTTGTAAATATTAAAAATAATCCAAAGAGTTTCTGGACCTATATAAAATCAAAGTAAAACGTACAACGATGTTTCTGCTTCTTCTAATAATGAGGCGGCTAATTTGTTTCCGGACTTTTTCTCATTTTGTATCTGATCATTTGACTGCTGATGAATTACCTAGTTTAAGGGCTGGTTTCGCAAAGTCTGGTTAACACTAATCTACGGTTAAACATCTTTATCGACGTCTTC